ATAAAATCCAAGGCCATTTTCTTGTGTATCCTCCATATTAGACAGGCTAAGGTGACTGTCTCTTTTATCCCGTCAAGTTACAATAGGTATGAATATCGTGTGCTTTCTGAGTGAGAGTTAACATAAGTAAGCTTGTTGGCCGTTTCAAGTTAAATTGATGTCTGATGGTGAATATCTGTTGTCTAAGTTAAACTGATCTAGGTATGGTGAGTGTCTGTTGTTTTAAGTTAAATTGACGTCGGTATGGTGAGAATATGTGGTCTCGAGTTGAACTAATGTATGTAAAATTATTGTCTGTTGTCATAAGTTAAACTGATGTAGGTATGGTGAGTAAGTGTCTGTTTTTTCAGACTTAACTCGTGTAGGTATTGTGTGTGAGTATCTGATGTCTCAAGTTAAACTGATGTAGGTATAGTGAGTGGGAATCTGTTTTCTCAGACCTAACTGATGTTATAGGTATATTGAGTTAGTGTCTGTTGTCTCAGACTTAACTGATGTAGGTATAGTAAGTGAGTGTCTGTTGTCTCAGACCTAACTGATATAGGTAAATTGAATGAGTGTCTGTTGTATCAGACTTAACTATTGTAGGTAAGTGAGTGATTGTCTGTAGTCTCAGACGTAGCTGATGTAGGTGTAGTGAGTGAGTGTCTCTTGTCTCAGAATTAACTGATGAAGGTATAGTAAGTGAATTTCTGTTGCCTCAAAGTGCCAGAGATCGTTTCCTGGAGGGGCAAATCAGGAAGGAAATGAGAATGAAGGGAGAAATGATTGCAGAAATGATGAAGGCTGTGCGTCTGAGAAGAAACAGGCTAAATACGTACGATAGCATTAACGGTCCTGAAATGCCATGCTATAATTGTGGAAGTACATGCCTTTGCGCGGGCGGTTCTTGCTAGTTACACTCGCCATCGCCATGGGTTTTCATTTCCATTCCTCTGAAAACACAATACAACACTATTGTTCGGAAATATGAACAGGTGCCAACAAACATCAAACCAGACAAATAAAGAGATAGCAAGACAAGAAGATGATGGTTTGGCGATACTACAGACAGCCTCCGTTTACATGGACAATGAGCACTGACACTTACGGTGCCATCGACCATAAACTGCTTCCTGAGACGCTTAAAAGTAAAACTGGAAGTCGATGACGATGACGATAATGATGACGATGATAAGGGCAAGATTATAGTGCTAATATAGTTTATTTATTTATCTACAGACCCATTCAACGACAGTTTATGCAAACATCCTACAGACAAACTTTATAGCCATGCTCTTACGTTTATGTCTGCTACTTCTTCCCGCTATGGCACTTGGTACTTTTCTACACAAAAGCGCTCTGCATGGGATGGGCGGTATTCTATGGAAAAAGATGCTCCTAGGGCTAGGTAATAATCCAAAACTGCAGGCTCTCCAAGCGATTGGCAATTTTGCAAGCCAACGTTCTCTCTCAGGAAGAGGAGATATTCCAAGCATACAGGCTCTCCCGGGGACAGGCAGTACTCCAGCAATATGGAAACTCTATGGGGCACACGCTATACAGGGGACAAGTAATTTCCCAGGAACAGTTGCTGTCCAAGCAACTCCAACTTTCCAAGGTGCAGGTACTCTCCAAGGAACGGGTATTTCCCCAGGGACACGTACTTTGCCAGCGACAGGAACTCACTCAGGGACAGGAAGTTATCAAGGGACAAGTACCCTTTCAGGGACAGGTACTCTTTCAGGGACAAGTACTCTTTCAGGGACAGAGGCCTTCCAAGCTACAAACACAAGCCCAGATGTATTCTTGCTGATACTTTTTGGTTACTTTGACTCGAACAGTGACAAAACAGTTGGGGAGTCTGAACTAAAGCAGGTGTTGGAGGTAAAGTGTCTTACTTACCTAATTTATTCACTATCTATCTATCTATCTATCTATCTATCTATCTATCTATCTATCTATCTATCTATCTATCTATCTATCTATCTATCTATCTATCTATCTATCTATCTATCTATCTATCTATCTATCTATCTATCTATCTATCTATCTATCTATCTATCTATCTATCTATCTATCTATCTATCTATCTATCTATCTATCTATCTATCTATCTATCTATCTATCTATCTATCTATCTATCTATCTATCTATCTATCCATCTATCTATCTATCTATCCATCCATCCATCCATCCATCTATCTATCTATCTATCTATCTATCTATCTATCTATCTATCTATCTATCTATCTATCTATCTATCTATCTATCTATCTATCTATCTATCTATCTATCTATCTATCTATCTATCTATCTATCTATCTATCTATCTATCTATCTATCTATCTATCTATCTATCTATCTATCTATCTATCTATCTATCTATCTATCTATCTATCTATCTATCTATCTATCTATCTATCTATCTATCTATCTATCTATCTGTCTGTCTGTCTGTCTGTCTGTCTGTCTGTCTGTCTGTCTGTCTGTCTGTCTGTCTGTCTGTCTGTCTGTCTGTCTGTCTGTCTGTCTGTCTGTCTGTCTGTCCGTCTGTCCGTCTGTCTGTCTGTATGTCTGTCTGAATGTCTGTGTTTATTATACGTATATATGCGTATATGTGTGACATGCATGCATGTATAGGCGTGTTTGTGCATGTATGATTCTGTGTACCAAGGAGTGTATCTATGGGTAACTGTATAACTTTGTGTGTATGTTAGCCTGTGTGTGTGTGTTTATGTGTATGTCTCTTTGTGTGGGCGTGTGTTTGTGTGTGTTTATGTGTGAGCTTATATGGTGTCTGCGTGCGTGTCTGCAGGTGTGCCTGTGTGCGTGTCTGTGTCTGTGCTCATGTCTCGGTGTTGGTGTGTCTGTAAGCGTGTCTGTGTGTGTGTCTCTGTGCGTGTCAGTGTGCGTGTCAGTCTGTGTTTGTGTCTGTGGATGTGTGTCTATGTTTGTGTGTCTGTGGGTGTGTGTCTGTGTGTGTATCTATGTATGTGTCTGTAGGTGTTTCTGCGTTTTTGTCTGTGTGTCTATGCCTGCATGTCTGTGGCTGTGTGTTTCTCTGTTTATGTGTGAGTTTATATGGTGTCCGCGTGCTTGTCTGTGTCTGTGCTCATGTCTCTGTGTTGTTGCGTCTATATGCTGGTTTTTATGTGCATGGATGTGTGTGTCTCTCTGTGTCTGTATGCGTGTCAGTCTGTGTTTGTGTATTTGTGGGTGTGTTTATGTATGTATGTATGTATGTATGTATGTATGTATGTATGTATGTATGTATGTATGTATGTATGTATGTATGTATGTATGTATGTATGTATGTATGTATGTATGTATGTATGTATGTATGTATGTATGTATGTATGTATGTATGTATGTATGTATGTATGTATGTATGTATGTATGTATGTATGTATGTATGTATGTATGTATGTATGTATGTATGTATGTATGTATGTATGTATGTATGTATGTATGTATGTATGTATGTATGTATGTATGTATGTATGTATGTATGTATGTATGTATGTATGTATGTATGTATGTATGTATGTATGTATGTATGTATGTATGTATGTATGTATGTATGTATGTATGCATGTATGCATGTATGTATGTATGTATGTATGTATGTATGTATGTATGTATGTATGTATGTTATGTATGTATGTATGTATGTATGTATGTATGTATGTATGTATGTATGTATGTATGTATGTATGTATGTATGTATGTATGTATGTATGTATGTATGTATGTATGTATGTATGTATGTATGTATGTATGTATGTATGTATGTATGTATGTATGTATGTATGTATGTAAGTATGTATGTATGTATGTATGTATGTATGTATGTATGTATGTATGTATGTATGTATGTATGTATGTATGTATGTATGTATGTATGTATGTATGTATGTATGTATGTATGTATGTATGTATGTATGTATGTATGTATGTATGTATGTATGAATGTATGTATGTATGTATGTATGTATGTATGTATGTAAGTATGTATGTATGTATGTATGTATGTATGTATGTATGTATGTATGTATGTATGTATGTATGTATGTATGTATGTATGTATGTATGTATGTATGTATGTATGTATGTATGTATGTATGTATGTATGTATGTATGTATGTATGTATGTAATATATATATATATATATATGTATGTATGTAGAATTTTAACTGAAAATCCCTGATTTTCTATTTGGTATTTGCGAGATATTGTATTTTCACTATCGTGTAAAGTATAATCAGATTTGACTGATATGTGTCAATATGCAATAACACAACATTTATTAGTTGATTGATATCGCATGTTTATTTGTCTTTAATTTTTTTTTTTTAGGACGTCGACATCAACAAAAATGGTTTTGCTAGTGGTGATGAGTTGTCACGAGCGTTCCCACATATGACATCAGAGCACTTAAGTAAGTTCAATTATCTCACTTTAAAGGAAAAACAGGTTACATAAGCGAACTGGTATCACATAGAAAACTTATAGTTTTCCCATAACACTGGGAACTCGATGCGTGATTTGGTCAATTTCTCTCAGATCGTTTTACTTCTCATCACAGTGTGTAAGGCTCATTTTAGAACAGGTCATACTGTGAATGTCGAATATTAAATTAACAGCACTAGGGACACCGTTATAAGCTCTGTCCCCAGCTTCAGTAAAGTCAAATGCTTCAATTCCGACTGCATCAGTAACTGCATGATTGTATATCAACCTCGCTTGTCCCTTGAGTGTTGTGAGCATCTGCCAGATCCCCTAGCAACTCCTCGCAGCGCCTTTCTTCTGAGACCGTATTTATCTATCTGTTCTTCCCCCTCCCCCCCCCCTTTTTTTTTTTCCCTGGGGCATGCAAGAGTGTTAGGAAATGACGAGACAGACTGGCTGATTCCGCACCGATTGGTGGAGAATTTATACATGACAAGCTAAATGTCTTCATTGCCAATTTAGGGCGAATAAACAATGCTGAGCCACGGATTGATGTTATGGTCTAGAGAGAGAGAGTACGGTACAGCTGAGAGTGACCAGGGGATCTGGAGAGAGAACGGTACAGCTGGTAGTGACCAGGGGATCTGGAGAGAGAACGGTACAGCTGGGATTGACAAAGGTGTCTGGAGAGAGAACGGTACAGCTGGGAGTGACCAGGGGATCTGGAGAGAGAACGGTACAGCTGAGAGTGACCAGGGGATCTGGAGAGAGAACGGTACAGCTAGTAGTGACCAGGGGATCTGGAGAGAAAACGGCACAGCTCTGAGTGACCAGGAGATCTGGAGAGAGAACGGTGCAGCTGAGAGTTACCAGGCGATCTGGAGCGAGAACGGTACAGCTGGGAGTGACAAGGGTATCTGGAGAGAGAACGGAACAGCTGGGAGTTACCAGGTGATCTGGAGAGAGAACGCTATAGCTGGGAGTGACAAGGGTATCTGGAGAGAGAACGGTACAGCTGGGAGTGACCAGGGTATCTGGAGAGAGAACGGAACAGCTGGGAGTTACCAGGTGATCTGGAGAGAGAACGCTATAGCTGGGAGTGACAAGGGTATCTGGAGCGAGAACGGTACAGCTGGGAGTGACCAGGATATCTGGAGAGAAAACGGTACATCTGGGAGTGACAAGGGTATCTGGAGAGAGAACGGTACAGCTGGTAGTGACCAGAGAATCTGGAGAGAGAGAACGATACAGCTGCGACAATTGTGTGTGCGAACAATTCAGAGAAATTATAAGCACAATTGTGTATCCTTTTTCTTCTTCTTTTCTCTACTTCTTTGGCTCTGTTACCACTGCATCTGTATACCAGTGCTCTCTGGCTGCCGTGTCTGATATCAGTTATAGTCTATTTTGCTATAGCATTTCAGCTCAAAAGCCCCTATACTCTTTCAGTCCTTAAGAAAGAGAATAGGGGCTTTTGAGCAGAAATGCTATAGAAAGATTCTCAGAATATCTTGGACAAAGAAGATGAGAAATATTGACATCTTAAAACATCTGAACATCAAGGAAGATTGGCTAATAAACAGCATCCTTTCTCGAAAGCTGGAATATTTTGGTCATATCAAGCGCCACGAGGGATTGGAAAAAATTATAGCAGAAGGCATGGTACCAGGAAGGAGGGGCAGAGTCCGAACGACACGAAGATGGGCACAGGATTTAAGTGACTCCTTGAGTGTAAAAGTTCATAAGACGAGAGAGCTGGCAAGAGACCCAGTTTTTTACAGGCAGACTGTAATAAGAGCGACGTTCTGCAAAGGACCTGCTACATGATGATGATTATGATATATATATATATATATATATATATATATATATATATATATTTCACTATTCGCGATTTATAAAAAAAAATAGATCTCATTTTAGTATTTCATATCATCAACAGATACAATCTATTCAATGTTTGGCGCTCAATCCGCTAGTGGCATTTCTCTGGAAAATCTCCAAGACGTATTTAACGGATTTGACACTGACGGTGACGGAAAGATAACTGAGGCCGATCTGGCTTTAGCCTAGTACGTATTTTGTAAAATTTTTATAATTCACGAAAAGGGGAATCCCACAGTTCCCTGCAAAGTTCAATGTTTGTTTATACAGACACTTCTGTAAGTAGGCGGTGTGTCAAATAATAACATTACCTTCTTCTTTCTTTTTGTTTCCTATTCTTATAATAATAATAATTATTATTATTATTTCTCCTGCTTTTTCTTTCTTTCTTTCTTCTTCTTCTTCTTCTTCTTCTTCTTCTTCTTCTTCTTCTTCTTCTTCTTCTTCTTCTTCTTCTTCTTCTTCTTCTTCTTCTTCTTCTTCTTCTTCTTCTTCTTTTTCTTCTTCTTCTTCTTCTTCTTCTTCTTCTTCTTCTTCTTCTTCTTCTTCTTCTTCTTCTTCTTCTTCTTCTTCTTCTTCTTCTTCTTCTTCTATATTCTTCTTCTTCTTCTTCTTCTTCTTTCTTCTTCTTCTTCTTCTTCTTCTTCTTCTTCTTCTTCTTCTTCTTCTTCTTCTTCTTCTTCTTCTTCTTCTTCTTCTTCTTCTTCTTTCTTCTTTCTTCTTCTTCTTCTTCTTCTTCTTCTTCTTCTTCTTCTTCTTCTTCTTCTTCTTCTTCTTCTTCTTCTTCTTCTTCTTCTTCTTCTTCTTCTTCTTCTTCTTCTTCTTCTTTTTCTTGTTTATCTTCTTTATTTTCTGCTTCTTCTGCTTCTCCTCGCCCTTCTTTTTCTTTTTCTTCTTCTTCTTCTTCTTCTTCTTCTTCTTCTTCTTCTTCTTCTTCTTCTTCTTCTTCTTCTTCTTCTTCTTCTTCTTCTTCTTCTTCTTCTTCTTCTTCTTCTTCTTCTTCTTCTTCTTCTTCTTCTTCTTCTTCTTCTTCTTCTTTTTCTTCTTTTTCTTCTTTTTATTGTTCATCTTCTTCCGTTTCTCCTTCCTCTGCCTCTCCTCACCCTTCTTTTTCTTCTTCTAATTATTTGTCTTTTTCTCCTTGTCTCCACTAGAATCAAAAGTAAACACTATCTTATTCCAGATGAACATTAAACGCCCAGCAGTCAAGCATAAAACGAACCTTCAAGCCAACAGTGAAACCACCCCAAAAAACTAGCATGAAACTAACATTGAAACTATCTATTAACGTATGCATGAAACTAACGATTAAACAACACATGAAGATAACCATGAAAACAAGCATGAAACCTACCATAAAAACAAACATAAAAACTAACAGGAAACCAATCATAAAAGTAAAAATGAAACCAAGAATGAAACCAGCCTTGAAACGAGCTGCAGCTAACCACAAACTGTGTAATCAGCATGAAATTAAACATGAAAGCAACCACGAAACCCACGATGAAATCAAAGGACCATATCAATCTGAAAATCAAAATGAAACCAAACTTAAAACTAACACCAATATTGGCAATGAAGCCAAGAGTGAAGAAAACCAACAACTCAACTAAGCAATCTATTAATAATGATCACGTTAGGATGACAACGCCAGTTCTTGTTGCTGTAGGTTTGTGCTCAAAAACATGATATTTATCTTCCCTCATTCTCCTCAGCTCCCATGGACTCCAGATACCAGAAAGGGGGTCAGGTTTGAGAGGAGATACAGGTTCAGTGCGAGAGACAGATTCAGGGGCAGGATCAGGATCCAGAGAGAACACAGGTAGAAGGATAGGGACTCTTCCGAGAGTAGACACTGATTCCAGAGTAGGAACTAGTCCACGAGAAGAAACTTTTCGAGGAACAGGGTCCATACAACCAACGTAAGTTCTGTTCGACTGATCATCTATATATATATAAATCAATGTTTGTGTGTTTGTTTGCCCCCTATAGACTCAGAAACTACTGAACCGATTTAGCTGAAATTTTCAGGATATCTTTGTTTTGATACCGGATGTTGAACCATCATGGTTTGAAATTCAACCTGTCACTGTTAAAGATAGGTGACCACAATTTGAGCCATAAATTTCGAAACTAATATTTATAACTTTAGTGATTTCTAATTATAGCCACGTTAGTAATTGCGCATGCGCCGTGCAGCCAACACCTCCTTTAATACATAGAGTAGGTCGTGGTACAGCAAACAAGACTATATCTATATCTGTGCAGGCAGTGATTGCCACAATAACTATATTAGACACGATTTCTATTTTTTTGGTTTTTTTTTTCAAACATCCTTCGATGAGTTGAAAAGTAGGGGGGGGGGGGGGAGGCATCAGGGACTATCATGACGTCTGCGCAGACATTGACTGCGACATTAACCGTGTTAGACACGTGCGATTTCTTTTGTTGTGCCATTGCATTAATATATTTGCAATATCTGTCTATGAGAAAACAATTGCCTGCTGTTTTAGGTTGTGTTATAATTGGGACACTGCAGTAGGGACACACATATAAAATAGTTATGTTCTCTTTTCTGTACTCCGTTAGAGTAGTTGCTTGGTCGAACACTCGGCTCTTGAGAGGGAGACCAGGGTTCGAATCCGCAGTAGTTTTTTTTTCTTTTTACTTGGGGCCAAAATAAAATCCTCACCTTCACTGTCGTTGTGACAGCACTAGCCATATGGCCCTTAATGATATATATTAAAAAAAAAAAAAAACAAGGACAGGTTTGTGTGTAAACCAGTTGATAATTAAATTTGACCATTTCACATACTTATGATTTCATTTTAAACTTTTCGATTGCATGGTTACGCTGAAATTTTATAGCTTTCCATTTATTTTCATTTAGATTTAATTATTTTATCTGCGTTTCTTCTTTTTAAGCTGTGCTGTTTTCCATCTTTCTTCATCTTCCTAATTCTGGTGTATTTTTCCTGTTTTAATTTCTTTTTTTCAGTTGGTTTTTTTCCCCTCTCAACTACTTCGATGAGGGAAAGAGTAGTCGGTGAATTTGGGGGGGGGGGGGGGGGCTGATTACTGAGAGAGTTTTAAGTCACAGTCTTCTGCTTTACCCACTCTTCTTAGCAGCAGCTTAGTAGTTGTGGTTGGGCGGTTACACCGTAGTGCTCTCATGTGAAGACCGCCGGTAAGGTTATGGCATTCTTCTGTTGGGGAGCGAAATTATACATCCTAACCTGACCAGTCCGTGGCGACAGCACTAGCCATGCGGCGCCAAAACTTCTGGCTCACGACTGCCTGTCTACTCCGATGGTAAAACATATAGAAGTGACATTATTTTAGCTACTGTGGTGATGGTCGTGGTAGTAGTTGTACTGGTACTTGAAGGATGATGCGGTAAATATTACATTAGCCCCATTCACTACCTATTACAATTCCTGCTCCCAATTTAGTCCGGATGGACAGGGATGTCAATGTCAACAAAAAGAATATCGCCAGGTGATGATTTTTCAATCCTTCGAAGAGGGAGAGAGCAGCAGTCGGTGGAAGAGGGGAGGGGAGAGGGTAATGACTGAAATTTAAGAGAAATTGAAGAGCTTTACACATGATTTTAAAATTCTCATTACTTACTTAATTTGTTTATATTTTACTAACGCTACCTTCGCTATTCTAATTTTTGTACGACTTACTTTGTTACTCACAAGTCTCCTATAAAAATACAAACAGCTTTAGCATGTGATAACCAAATAACCACTTCTGTTACTGTGCTAATAGCACCATTTAAACGACCACTAATATAAGACACAATTATATGGTGCGTGTTCTAAAGTTGGAAAACCAAACTATCTCTATATAAATGTGCAGAGAATGATTGCGACATTAACTATATTAAACAGGTGCTTCTTCTTGTCTATCTTTTCTTCTTCTTTGATTCTTCTTCTTCTTCTAGGTCTTCTTCTTCTTGTGGGAAAAGGGGGGGGGGGTAAGGGGTCTTTCTTCTTCTTCTTATCTCTATATCTTCTTCGACAATTCTTCTTATTCTTCTTCGTGCGATTTCTCTTTTTCTTCATTTCTTCTTAGCCAAACTATTCCACAGCTTCTTCTTCTTCGGATACAGCTTCTGTCTTTCTTAAAATTCTGAAAAAGAAAGCTCTATTACATTTTTTTATACTATGCTGTTCTTCTTTTCATGAAATATTTGACAGCTCTAATCTCAGTTTAAAAAAAAAAAAAAAAAAAAACATGTGTCAACTGGAATTAAAGAAAGAGCATAATGCTTTTTTTCCCCACCACTGTTCCACTTTCTGCTCGTTCATCTCTGTCTTTAGCTTATTTTTCTCCTGCTGCTTGATTTCTTCTTAGAGTGTATGTGCCTCTCTTTTTTCTCTTTCTTCTTCTTTTTCTTCTACTTCTTCTTCTTCTTCTGTTTTCTCTTTCTTCTTCTTTTTCTTCCACTTACTTCTTCTTCTTCTTCTTCTTCTTCTTCTTCTTCTTCTTCTTCTTCT